CTTTTTAATTTATAGTTAATGTATCTTGCTAGCATTTTAGGGTAAGACTCTCAAGTACAAATGAAAAATTTATATTACTTATGATTTCTAGAAGAAATGAAGTCATTCTATTTTGAAAAAGAAAACTGTTTATAATTTTAGTGTTTCCCTAATAGCAATTTCATAACTTTTTATTTGTTGTTTACTCAAAATATACCTAACACCATTAGAACCCTAACTTTTAAAACTCAAAACATGCTTATTATCTAAGAATGAATTTAGCATATAATCATTATTTCTAATTATATTTTGAGGTAATTCAAAGTTTGAAATTCTGGTAATCTTTTGAGAGGATCAATCTAGTACAATTCAACCTGCTTTTAAGTTATATAATACTTAACTTATTAAGTAAAATGTAAAAACTTCAGTTCCCCAGTTATGCTTGCAATATTTCAAGTGCACAGAAGCCATATACACTTATTAGATTTCCTTTTGGGTAGTACAGATATAGACTTGTCTGATTCCACAGGACATTCTATGGGGCAACAGCAGTTTAAATTGTGTTTATTTCACAGCATTTTTCACAGACCCTTGCACTCCCTGCAAACTTATTAACAAAAAACAAAACAAATGAAAAAGCTTCTTTGTAACAGAGTTCATTCCTCCTTGGTGGGTTTTTGTATGGCCACAGGATCTCTGTGTCTCCTCCCCTTCATGCCTCTGTCAGAATGCAAGCAAGCTTCCAGAGCCTAACAGTTTCTGAAGACTGACTTCCTGCAGTCTCATTATGATGGGTCTCAGTTTTCTTTTTGGATTTTTCTCTCCTCAGGATACGTTCAGATTTTCAGATCTTTGATATTATCATTTTTATAAAATTTAGGAGGATTGGGGCCATCATGTTTTTAATATTTTCTCCTATCTCCTCCAGGACTCTGTATGTATATACGATAAGCATCCAAATGCCATCAGCTTTCTGAAGCTAGTTAGTACATTTTTTTTTTCAGTAGTTTCCCTTTTTACTACTTCTTGGATCACCAATATTTCTACAGCTTTAAGTTTACTTATCTGTCATGCAGAAACATATCATCTATAATGTGTATCTATTGAGTATGTTTCAAAACTTATAAATAAAAGTTCTTATATTATTTCATCTTAAGAGTTTCATTTGATTCAATTCTACTTTTCATTCCTGTTGGTAAGTGGTAATATTTTGTTTCTATTTATTCACTTTTCATCCCATTCACTACCCTCTCTCTCAGGGCTCCCTCCTACAATTCCTGCCCTCATTCTCCCTCTTCTCCTCTGAGTAGGTAGAGCCCCTCCTGGGTATCCCCTCACCCTGACACATCAGGGCTAGGTGCTTCTTCTCTCATTGAGGCCAGACAAGGCAGCCTAGCTAGAACATATTCCATAGACAGGCAACATATTTTGAGATGACCCCTGCTCCAGGTTTTAGGGACCTACATGAAGTCTAAGCTGTACATCTGCTACATATGTGCTATGTGCCTAGGTTCTGCCCATGTAAGCTCCCTGGTTGGTGGTTCAGTCTCTGACAGGAGGGTCCCAAATAGCTGTTTTTGTTCGTCTTCCTGTGGAGTTTCTATCCCCTACATGGCGCTCAATTCTTCCCCCAATTCTTTCATAAGTCTCCCCCAATGTCCATCTACTATTTGGCTGTGAGTCTCTGCATCTTTTTGAGTCAGCATCTGCATGGGACCTCTCAGGACAGTTATACTGGGCTCCTGTAAAAAAGGTAACAGAGTATCATAAATTGTATCAGGAATTGGGGATTATTTGTGGGATGAGACTCTAGTTGGGCCAGTTATTGCTTGACTATTGCCTCAGTCTCTGCTCCATCTCCTTTCCCTAGATTTCTTGTAGGCAGGATAAATTTGGGTCAGAAGTTTTGTGGATAGGGGCTATGTCTTTTAAACTTATAAAGCTATAGGAGTTTTTGGTTGGACCGTTAAGATGGCAAGTTTTATGTGGCAGATTATCTGACCTCTACTTTTTAAAAAATGGTTATGCCTTTTGGCATATGCATTTGAGTTACAACAGAAGTTGGCCATCATGTTTTTGTTGTTGTTGTGGGTTTGCAGTTTTTCTGTGTTATACTTTTTTTTTATTTTGGAACATAGATTCCCCCAAAATATTTTATTTTTACCCATTATTAAGGTTCAGTTCTTCCAAGTCTAATCATAAATACACAGGAAATATACTGGGAAAACCCTGAGTTAGTCTTGTTTTTTCTGTGGTCTTTTTAAATTACTAGCTCACAGCTTTTCAACCACATCATAATCCTGACCCCTTTGTTTGTAGTCTTAGATATAAGTATAGATTCAAGGTCTTCTCTCAGCAGACTCCACTTTTTCTTCTCTGCATAGCTCTCATCCTAAGAAGACTTCATCGTCATGTGAAGCCTTCTCTGACATTTTGAAGTCTTGTCTCTGACCCCTTGTGTCAGTGATTTACCATCTGTGCTTGTCATAATCCCAACTATTATTTGCCCATTGCTTTCTGATCTTGTGTACCTGTCCAGACCAACAGAAAGGACAAACTGTGCCATACTTTTTCTTTCAGATGTCATATCTCTTCACTGTTTGAACTAAGTGAACTAAGTGTTTGAAGTAAGTTTGAACAAAGTGTTCTTGACTCTCAGCCAGTAGAGTCTTGCCAAGGAGACAAACATCAATCACATGTAATGTCTGAATAACAGATATTTCCTCTATTATTACCTGTTTTTTTGTAGGTATTTGAATCATTTGTTCTCCATATGTCATCATGGTTGTGATACTTTTCCTCAATGGACCAACAACTCATGTAATAGAGGTACATAAGCTACGTAGTTCAGTAGTAGTGTAGAAACAGGACAGTGGCAACTAATTCTAGAATAGATTTTGTAATATGTTGATGTGATAATACAGACAATTTCAATAGTACTCTCATGGTCATTCATGCTGGTAGAGAATAGTAAAACACTCTTAATGGGAGAGAAAGGCCTACAGATTTCAGAGTACTTAGTATTAGTGTTAAAATCCCAAATTATTCTTAAAAATTAACATTTTACTGGGTCTTTATATGTAAGCCAGGAATGTACTATATCTAACTGGCCTGAAACTCACAGAGGTCTGCTTGTATCTGTATCCCCAGTACTTAGCATAAAGGAGTACACCAACCTTCCCAGCTCTATTTGGTGTCTTAAGTTTGTCTTGAGATTCATTTCATATATCTGGTAAAAGATGATGTAAAGGTAGCACTTATAAGGAGGTCTCAGAGTGGTGCAACCTCACATTGAATTGTTCCAGAAATCACTACTTCAACTTCATCCAGGTGACCTCATCTAAGAGTTTCCATGGTTGCTTCCTAACCAGCAGGTTCCTGATTATAAATGTCAGCCATAAGAATTGCTTACCCTTGATTATGTCACAGACACACTTTAAAAAACATTTGCCATATACCTATAAAATGAAAATATGTTTTCTGAGGTTTGTAATATAGATATTGGCATGTACTAGTAAGAAAAGGTAATTTACAATAGACTATACAAAGAAGTTGATGTTTTAGTATGTACTTTAATTTTTTGTTGCATTTTTAAAACTGTCTTAAGTTATACAATATGTATAGTTTAAGGATTAGAAAAAATATCAGTTTTAATTTCTACAATCCTAGCTTGAATATTTCATGATGAAAGAACAAGTCAAATGTGGCTAAGCTGGAAAATGTAAGGCAATTTTAAAATTATTCATTTCAATAATTGGATTTAACTTTTATGTAAATTGCTTAATGTTCTATTTATTAGATCTACCTTTATTAAAATGACACATGTGAGGGTCTGTTTTGAAATGAAGTTATACTCACTTCAGATACAATAATGAACAGCTTTATTTGAAACATTTTACTGCTTCTAGGCGGTGCTTCACTTCTAGAGCATTTCTTTTAAATGCATAGTGGGTGATTTCTCAGGCATACTCAATTTCTGTGACTTTTTGATTTCTATGAGATTAACAATTAAATGAAAAGTGTCATTTAAATTGATTATTAAGCCAATTGCATTTGTCTTTTTATAGCTGAAGTATTTTAAATTCGTGTTCATATAAACATGTTTGTAACTATCTCCAAGAAAATGGACTGTTGGCTATACTTAAGCAATGGCCCTTCCCACTGAAGAGTAGAATTCTCCAAAGGTTTCTCTTTCACATAAGGGTTTCTCCAAACAGAAGAGGGTGCCTGGAAAACATGAAGATTCAATAAATATGACTATGGATTTTAAGGCCTTCAAACAAAAACTTTATTGAGTTTACTTAAAACATAAAACTGAAGGGGAAAAGCTCCAGTTTTCCTGTATAATTTTCTGATTATTGATAGATAATGGCTGTACATGTATTTTTGTTTGCATTTGACTGGAGTAACATATATGGTTGGTTCAATTGAATATGACAAACAGAACTAATCATTCTTTCTTCATGCAAGAAATCCTAATCAAATTTCTGTTATTAACACCTTTTCTTTTTTCTTTCTCTTAGCCTTTAATGTAATCCATTTTTGGCTTCTCAACATAGGATCCCTTTGCTGAAGCAGATAACCATTTATCTGTTACAGAGCAGCAGACTGCCTACACTCAGACATTACAGTGTTCATGTTTCTATATATCCCTTTTTGTTAGACTTGCACATGCAGACTTTCCTAGTCTTTTCACAGAATAAAGTGGTTTATTCCTTAAATTTTCTTAAGCAAAAAACTATAGCTATACATAAAATTAAAAACAACTGTGCAACAGTCATTTGGGGCTGAATATTAGATACAAAATTGAGGCATTAAAAACTATGTAATTAATTATGAGTATTTTCCAAAAGTGTTTACAGATGTGTACTTTTGATATTTACTTTAAAAAAAAACAGAACTATTAATAATATTCAGGAATTGATTTCCAGATGAAAAGTTTCACCCTGTTCAAAGCAAGAGATATCTGTTGAATTTAATTATCTTATTGTCTGATCTTTTTGTTTCTTTGTTTGTTTAAGGATTAAAACAAGGTGAACCAACCATGACGGGCAAAACACAAACAAGCAATGTTACCAATAAGAATGACCCCAAGTCCATCAACTCCCGGGTTTTCATCGGCAATTTGAATACAGCCATTGTCAAAAAAGTTGACATTGAAGCTATTTTTTCAAAGTATGGAAAAATCGTTGGCTGCTCTGTTCACAAAGGGTATGCTTTCGTTCAGTACATGAGTGAGCGTCATGCAAGAGCCGCGGTGGCTGGAGAAAATGCCAGGGTCATCGCAGGCCAGCCTCTTGGTAAGCTGTGCCTCATTGCATGTTTCCCTTTATTTCAGTATGCTTACATTGGCTGTTCAGGTGATTTGTTAAAGGCTAGCAGCTCCATAATATCTCTTGCTTCCTTAACTAGTTATGTGTTAGAAATTTTCAGTTCAATAAGTATCATTTTACATGTAGCTATTATGATCTCAACAAACATAAAGTTGTGATTAAAGCTGTTTGTAATATTAATAGCCTCGACCAATTCTGATACAGTAAAACACAATGTATGTATCTATTTTAAGTTTATTTGACTTGAAATAGTATAAAACTTTCACAAACATATGGTAAGTTTAGTGATCTTGAGTATGAGATTCTTTCTGAAAGGATAATTTATTTTCTTTATTTACAATTTTTACTTAGGAGCAAGGTTTAAAATAGTAAAAAGAAATACATTTTCCAGACTAGAAAAGTTCTTAACTCACTTTCCTCTAAATAGTTAGAAACTGTGTTTATTATACATCCTCTGCACATCCTGTGTTCACTTTATGCTTTATATCCAAGGAATAATACTGACTGAAATTTTGCCAAGAAAAGACAGTACATTTTGAGGTGAAATAAAAAAGAGAAAATGTTTGAAATTATTCAAAAGACAAAAATATCATTTATTTTCCCATGTGAAAAATACAATGTCTATCAATGTTTGTCTAGTTTATATTTCTTATTCTGTAAAGATTCATATTCCAAATTGATTATATATTTTATTGAATATTTAACAGATGTCTTTAAATATAACTTGATTTTCCCCCTACACTGTCTGTTTTGTAACTTTTCTGTAACGGTTGTGAGAATCCCTAACTGTAGTTTTTAAAACAGAAACGCCAATCCCTCCCTTCTGTCTATATTTCAGATGCAATCTAGAATCTCCTATTAAGTGCATCCCAATCTCTGCCTTTATCTCAGTCTGTGATAGAGCTTCTTACATAGCCACCACTGAATACCAGGGGCCTATGGAAAGGCTCTTTATCTCTGTGCACTCTGGAATGTTCTATTTTATTTATAAACAAACTATGTAAGTAACCTGCATTTAATCCTCTAAGGAATTCATACAGAACATGTTTATACTCCGTTGTGTACCATCTATACAGCCACATCTTCAGTCACAGCTCTGAGTCCTGCTGGCAGCCTTGAGATGCCTCCTGCATGGCAGGAATGCTCCTGTTTAAGAGGCTGTGGATCTCTGCTAGTTCTTAGTTCCCTTGATTGTTCTGAACTTTACATCCACAGAGAGGCCTTTATGATAGATTTAAATTCTTTCCTTTACTACAGATTCTTGCATACTGTCTAATGCATTTGTATCATCACTATTAAGATTTTTTTTTGTTTATGAGGTTGAACCCGTCATGTACACAAGCAAAAAATCAAGAGCGTGTCAAACAATTAAAAAGTACTGAGCGAACAAATGGGACAAGCATGAAAAATACTGCACTATCAAATTTCATCAATTCAGGAAAATGTCTATTGCCAGAAATAAAGGAAAACAGCTATAAATCCTGGTACAAGGAGGCTGAGTGCTGGAGTGTCTGCACTCATCCTGGGTTATACATTGAGACAAACAGTAAAACATATGGAAGCTATGGCATTCATTAAAATGTGAGTGATGTCTGAGGTATAATTGTAAAAACATAAAATGTTTTTATATATTATCTGATATAAATCCCTAACATATGTGAAATGCTAGTCTTTATTTTTATCTGCATCTTTCATTTTTCTAGTGTAAAGAAAGGTAATATTTTCCAATAGTCTTGTCTGTTTTCCAGGTATTCATTTTGTTTCCTTCATATCTACATTTCCAATACTTACCTTGATATTGGAGTTCCAGTGATTTGCCTCTTTATTAAGTATTATAATAAAAAGTTTTCTTCAGAAACATATTCTTGGTAATTTCAGGGTCAATCTATTGCCTGTGTCCTCATTACTGTGAAACTAGCATAACCTTATAGAAACACATTTGTTTATTATTCTTTTAAAAATAATTATGAATATAAAGTCAGTTCTAACTCTGATTTATTTGGAACTGAACGGTAGCTAATTCTCTGGAGTCCTGATTTCTATCACCACTCAGGTGATCACTATCTCTAAAATAATAGAACAAAGAGACAGGTGTATAACTCTAAACTTAGTGGCCTATCTTCACAAAGTCAAGGGATAAAAATGATGATCTCAGATTGCTGTGCACTGAGAAGCAGAGTTAGATGCTGGCTGTAATGGTATTGTTTAAATGCTTAGACATACTTGTTGCTCTTCTCAGTGTTTCTCTCAGCATAATACCTAAATCCATGCTAAAGACTTTACTTATTTAGGTGGAAGCTAACTTATTAGCTATTATATCATATCATATCATATCATATCATATCATATCATATCATATCATATCATATCATCATACCATACCATACTATATTATATTTTGCCTAAATTGGAAGATTTCCATGCAAAGCAGGTGCTTTGAAATTTGACTAGTAATGTTGCTTTTTAGTACAAGTGCCTGAATATAAACATATTTTTCTTATTTATTTATTTATTTATTTATTTATTTTACCTATTAAATTTACCTCCTTCTCACTGCCCCCTCCCATTCAGTCCATCTCCTATCTCCCCAAACCCCATTTCCTCTGAGCAGGTGCCCACCCCCAGGTATCTCCTCATCCTGGTGCTCCAAGGGTCTCCAAACCTAGGTGCTTCCTCTCCCAGTAAGGCCAGATAAGGCATCCCAACTAGAAGAACATATCCCACATACAGGCAACAGCTTTTGGGATAGCCCCTGTTCCAGTTGTTTAGGAGTCACATGAAGACCAAGCTGTGCATATGCTACATATGAGTGGGGAGGCCTAGGTCCAGCCTGTGCATCCTCTTTCTCTGTGGTTCAGTCTCTGAGAGCCTGTAGAGTTCAGGATAGTTGACTCTGTTAGTATTCCTATGAAGTTCCTATCTCCTTAGGGGTTGCAATCCTTATTTCAGTTCTTCCATAAGACTCCCCAAGATCTATCCTAGTTTTTCTGTGGGTATCTGCATCTATTTGAGTCAGCTGGTGGGTGGAGCCTCTCAAAGGACAGCCATGTCTGCAAGCACCACTTTTTATTAACTCTAATTAACTCTAATCATTAGAAATTGAGGCAAAAGCTTGATACCCAGTTGTTCTGAGTTGGAGTTGATTTCATAGTAATGAGAGATCAAAGCTTCATTTTCCAAGCCTCATGCTCACCTTCATCTTCAGTAACTATTCATATCTTCTGTTGATTTGGGCAAAACATGACTTCAAGTAAACTGGTCACTTAATTCCAGATTTTTTATTTACTTTCAAATTTACAGTTGATTAAAAGCAAACAACAAACAAAATGAAACAAAACGAAAAATCTAGACTTGCTCCCTTGTGCAGTGAATTGATCATGGACACAGTAATGGGTTATTATGATATAAAGCATGTGGTGTCTAAGCCTTTGCCTTTCTCTTTAAAGTAGAAAGACATGATATTGATTGAATCTGAACGACTAGTACTCCTATGTTTAGTATCTTTATCTTAAATAATGAACAATCATAAGCCATTTTCTGTAGAGCAATATTTTTATATCTACATTTTAAAAATAGAATTAAGAAGTTAAATATCAGTACTAAGTAAAATTCAATATCCTCATGCAAGTTCTTACTTTTATGAAATTACAGATAAATGCTGAAATTTAGAATATTTCTGTTAAAAACTAATGCTAATTAAATTGTGGGGAAAATTACAGGTAGCTGCTGTGGAGTCCCAGTGGGTTTCCACTCACTCTGCAGCGGGTCCCACATGAGGGAGGAGGTCTAAGGTTCCAGAGCCTGGGGTTTTGGTTGCGGCAGGCCCCAATGACACGAGGAAGTCCTTGGTTTCAAAAGGTTTATTGTCATGGCAGATGGTGGAAGGACATGGAAGTATGCCCCATAAAATTCAGGGCAGTCCCCAGTTATATAGGGAGGGAAAAAAGGGGGAGGATATGGGGAGGCATGCTTAATTTGCTCTGCTCTCTGGCCTTCATTAGTATTCTGCCAGTTCTCACACAGAGTCTCGGGGTTCTAGGCACCTGCCCAGCCATGACCCAGAATACCCTTACATAGGCCCACATATCCTCCCCTTTACTTTTTAAAAAAGGGGGGGGGGTCACTGTGGTGAAAATTTTTGATGAGGAAGCCAAAATAAAGCACTATGTAGGCCAGAGGGGTTAGCACAATTAAGTCACAAGCTAAGGGGAGTTTGGGGGGATAGGGAAGGCAATGGATCATTTAATCAATTGATTACAGTTAGAGGTGGTACAGTTTGAGGGTAATAACATCTGACTAATCTAGATTGCCATTATGTTTTCCTCACTAACATGTAACTTTAGCTATTTGACTTTGGAAAAAGAGTTCCTTTGTAGCTGGAAGGTCTGAATCTCTCTGTAGGACTCAGTGAGCATCTCTGGATCTCAGCATGTCTCTGGAATCTGTCAGGTGGTGTGGCTGCAAGAAGACAGTATGGCATCATAGGCAGGTTCCAGGAGGTGGCGTTGTCTCTGCTGGACTTGTGGGAGCACCTGTAGAATTATCACAACAGGGAAGCAGCACCCAGGCAGGGGGATGTCTGCAAAGGGTGTGTAGTAAGCATTAGGTTACTTGGGATCAGGCACGTCATGGTGTGCCATTCAGATCCTAAAAAGGCAAAGGTGTATGAGGAAATTTTAGTCTTAGAAGTCATCTTTGAGTCTGTTTTGAATGGCTGAGGAAGAAAAACATCATTTTAATTGTGTAGGCAGCAACAGTTTGTCTGTAAAAGGAAACTAGTTGTTAATTAAGAGCTGAAAGATGGTGATCAGCATGTTGATTTAACCTGTGGAAATAGATTAGATGACCTTTGAACCTTGAAGAAGTCTTAAAAATTTGAAAAACAATGTTGGGAATATATCATGAATGTTAGAGTGAAAAGGAGACATTTAAACAAAAAGGCAAAAAATTTTGGGTTGAAAAGCACG